TAAATTAGGTAGATTTTTAGTTGGTTAAAAATGTAATTATATATATTATTGTAGCATATGTAATTTTAAAAGGATAAATGCTAATTTTGATTCCTCAATTTTAAAATTTTACATAATTTGTCCCTTAACTCTTTTTTTGATCATTTTGGTCCCTCAATTATGAGTAATTTGCTTTTTTAGTCCTTTTATCAATGTGCTAAAGAAACTTAATTGACAAAAGAACTAAAAATGTATATTATTCATAGTTGAAGGACCAATATGAAAAAAAAAGTTGAGGGATGAAAATTGTGTAAAATCATAAAGTTGATGGACCAAAATTGATATTTATGATTCTAGTGCTTGTTATATAATATTAAGATATTATTGAATTTTTAAGGCACGTACTGCTTAATTATGGGAGAAGATCAGAGTTGAATGTATCGTCATGGAGATGAAATGGGGTATTGGAATAATGAATTTAATGCTAGGGTAGACATTTTCTTAGATTTTGCATTCTCACAAACGGACTCGATGTTTTGTGCAAATAATATGATTCAGTGTCCATGTAGTAAGTGTTGGAATAGAGAATGGCATCATCGACGCAAAGTGCAATCTCATCTTATTAAGAATGACTTTATGGATTGGTATTTTATTTGGAAAAGACATGGAGAAATTATTCATAGAAAACGGCATTGCACCCAAGTGGGTGAATCATCAAGTGCCGCTGCTGCTGCTACTATGAATAATGTTCCAAGTGTCAATCAATTCAGAGACATGCTTCATGATGCCATGGGACCAAATTTTTTTAATAATGAAAATAGTGCCACAGGGGTAGAAGGTGCAACACAATTTGATGCTAGTTTTGATGATCCATATGGTGTCAGTACAGAATCGATATTGGAGGAGCCAAGAGGAGATGCAAAACAGTTCTTTGATCTTTTGCGAGTAGCTGATACACCTCTTTTTGAAGGGTGTGATGATGGTTTCACTGTCTTCAAGTGGGTGTGTCAGCTCATGAGTGCAAAAACACTTCTTAACATGAGTGTTACTAATTGGGACTATGTGCTAAAGCATAGTCTAATGGCCTTCAAAAAAGTTGATAGGGAGAAATTGCTAATAGATTATTATAGTGTCAAGAAGATGTTGAGGCGTCTGGGTCTTGGGTATAAAAAGTATGATGCTTATGTGAACAATTGCCTTTTGTATTATGGAGAATATGAAAGTCAGTGTTATTTACAGTGCCTGGTATGTGAAGAGCCACGATTTAAGCAGTATGATGTGCATTCTGCTAAGCCTATGCCAAGAAAGTCTTTGTGGTATCTTCCAATTATTCCTAGACTTCAAAGATTGTATATATCTAGGAAAATTACCGAGCATATGACCTGTCATTTAAATTGTTATAATGAAAATGAGAAAATTTTTCATCCTGCATGTGGAGAGGCGTGGAAGCATTTTGATAGCACTCATCCTGAGTTTGCTAGTGAACCGAGGAATGTTAGGTTAGGTCTATGCACAGATTGGTTCACTCCTTTTGGACATTCTGCATCTCCATACTCTTGTTGGCCAATATTTGTGTTAGTTTATAACCTGCCTCCAACAATGTGCATGAAGCAAGAATATGTATTCCTTTCATTAATTATCCAAGGTCCCCAAAGTCCTGGAAAGAATATTGATGTAATGCTTCGACCACTAATCGATGATTTAAAGCAGCTTTGGTATTCTAGAGTCCAAACTTATGACAGCTTTAGGCGTCAATACTTTTTGATAAAGGCTGCACTTATGTGGACCATTAGTGACTTACCTGGGTATGGAATGTTGTCTGGGTGGAGCACACATGGTAAATTAGCTTGTCCCTATTGCATGGAAAATTCAAAGGCCTTTTGGTTGGAACACGGTCGGAAGACATCATTTTTTGATTGTCACCGACAGTTTTTGCCACCAGATCATCCATTTAGAAGTAACAAGAATCACTTCATAAAGGGTCGTTCAGAGAATGGAACAATGCCAGAGAGATTGTCTGGTGATGAGATGCATAGTCGCATCCATTGGTTGCCTAATGTACTATTTGGTAAGCCACCTCAGAAACAGGAAATCCACGGATTTGGTGAAGTGCACAATTGGGTTAAAAAGAGCATCTTTTGGAAATTACCATATTGGCACACAAACTTGATTCAACACAATTTAGATGTCATGTACTGTGAGAAAAACTTTTTTGACAATATCCTTCATACAGTAATGGATGACCCTATGACAAAAGATAACATAAATGCAAGACTTGATCTAGAATTGTATTGTAAAGGAAAAGTCTGCACATACCGAAAACATGAGTGAATTTGGGTAAAAAGCCAAAGGCCACTTATGTTCTTAGTAGGGATCAAAGAAAATCAATATGTCAATGGTTGAAGCAACTTAAATTCCCTGATGGATTTGCCTCCAATATATCTCGGTGTGTCAATACACAAGAGGCACGATTATTTGGTATGAAAAGTCACGATTGTCACATTTTCATGCAAAGTCTTATACCAATTGCATTTCATGATTTATTACCGAAACAAGTTTGGGAGCCACTTGTTGAGATTAGTGAGTTCTTTAGGGCCTTGTGTGCTCCGGTGATTCAGGTCAATGACATGGCAATATGGCAGGAGAGGATAATAGAAATCATTTGTAAGCTAAAGCAAATCTTTCCACCTTCATTCTTTGACAGTATGGAGTACCTTGTAATCCACCTTCCATACGAGACTCGTGTAGGAGGACCAGTGCAATTTCGATGGATGTATCCATTTGAGAGGTAAATATAATTAATGTGTAATATATGAAAATAAATATAACTGCATATATGATATTTTGTTGCATTGAGGTTAGAATACCAATTTGGTACTTCAACTTTCAATTTTATATCAGAGCTACCATTGAACTTAAAAAAGAATTAAATGGTCCTTTCAAGGACCTTTCAAGGACCATTTTGAAACTTTTTTAAATTTTGAGGGTATATTTGATATAAACTTAGAAGTTGAGGTACCAAATTAGTATTTTAATCATAACATAATTATATAATAATTCTTGGTGAATCAGGCGAATGCATTGTCTTAAGTTGACGGTGAAAAACAATGTGCGTCCTGAAGCATCCATATGTGAAAGTTACATAATGTCTGAGATCACAAATTTTATCTCTCATTACTTTGATGATGGAGTACATAATACAATTGATAATCCCCCTAGGAATATTGTTGTTGGATTTGGTGATAATAGTGGCCTATCCATCTTTAAATGTGTTGAAAAATGTATTGGTTCCAAAATTGGAAGACGTTGCTCGATGGTAAAGGAACTCAAAGCTACTTTGTATTATGTGCTAATGAATTGCGAGGATGGGTCAGGTAAAAAACCTACACTAAAATCTTTAATTTGTTATATTAAGATTTATTGAAATTAAAATACTAACAATATATAAAAAAACTATTATTATATTTTCTAGTTTGTTTGACAGAGAACAATGTCAAAATATGAATCCTCAACAAATTCAAGCAAAACAAGAGAGAGACCTTGTGGCCTGGTTTGAACAAGCTGTGAGTATTTAATAATATGACTATTCAATTCCTTAACATATATATATGTTATTTCTCTTCAAATGCATCTAACATTTTCTTCTACAATCTATATATTTTAGGTAATTAGTGATGAGTTCATTAATGTCCATGAGCATATCAAAGGTTTATCCAGCGGTCCAAAAATTATGTTTTTTGCTATAATGGATATATTATCAATGGATTCCGATTTCATACTGCCCTCTATGGTAGAAATAAGCGAACAATGAATTATGGTGTTTGTGTTGTTGGATCTATTGGTACTGAATCAAATTATGATTTTTATGGTGTGCTTCAAGAAAAAATTCAGATTGAGTATTATGGATCGATCCATTGACAGGCAATTGTTTTATTCAAATGTGATTGGTACGAGATTCCTCCTACTCAAGGGGTTCAAGTGGATCAAAAACATCAACTGGTTGACATTAATCCTAGAAGATACCTTCGATCTTATGAGTCTTTCATTCTTACTAGTCAGGCAAGGCAAGTTTATTACACACCATATCCATCTATTAATCATGAAAGAAGGGGATGGATTGCTGCACTTAAAATTAAAGCTAGGAGTATCATTGAGGCTATTGAGAATAAAGATGACCAACAAGAAGGATTGACACCATATTTCCAAGACGATGAGCCTCCTATTCCTCAACAAATAAATATTGATGACATTACTTATGAACCTATGCAATATTCTGATGGGAGGTTTATTGAAATACATGAAGAAGTTGATGTTGGGGAGGGGATTGGGGAAGAGGATGAAGAAGGAGAATAGGAAGATTTTGAGACATTAGAAGAAGAAAACATAGAAACATATGTTGAGGAGAATGATAGTAGTGATGAGTAGGCAATAATATTGAAACTATTGAAACTTATTATTATATTTATGATTACTACTTGCTTGTCTGTACTTTTGTAATTATATTAGTTATATTATATGTTATTTAATTTAAAATTGTATAACATTAATATTACTTTCAAGTTAATATTTGTTTATTTATACTTCTATAATTGTATTAGTTGGAATAAAATTTATACGTTTATGTTTTTATCATATTATTAATTTTAT